CTGTACCATGAAGCAAGAAATAGGGCGACTCTCCTGTCGCATCGTGAGACGCCATGTTGTATGCATTAAGAACAAAAGGGAGACGCGCATCCCATTCTGATGGATTTTGAGTACTTCAAGCTAACATAGCTACCAACGTTTTATTCATCCTCTCCGTCAGCCCATTTTGCCGTGGATTATGCCCTACTGTGAGATTATGCTGAATCCCAATGAAGTAGACAATTTCTTTCATTTTCAAACTCTCGACCGTTATCCGAAATAAGAATCTTTGGGCATCTTGCCTCTTTCGCTACCTTTTCTTCAATAAAGATGCGCGCTATGGTTTTGGCTGATTTGTCCGGCACCGCATACGCACTACACCATTTAGAAAAGCGTCTATTATTGTGATCGCATAGCCGTTACCCCTAATAGTTCTACCCAATTCTAAAACATCGATTCCGCAGATTTCGAAAACTTCCGATGAAATGATGGGCTTTAACGGTGGGACTCTCGTTGGAGTGCTATCTACCGATATCCCTGCGCATACCAGACCAAGTATGTCTATTCGATAGCTGCTTATAAATCTTGTCAGCACTTAGGTATCCCGCAAATGCACCACTATGTGCCTTCTCAAACAACTTACGTCTATATGATTGAGGCACCGCTGCTTGAACTATGCCGTCGGCATTTGTCACCCATTTACTATTTTCTATCCAATACAGGCTCACCTGTTCGCCCCTTTTTAGTTTGCATATTGTATCGCCATATTCACTTTCGCTCTGCAGCTGCTGTACCCAAGGTTTCACTACTTCTGTTCCCATTACCATCATTCTGTCCTGAGTTTCCAAAGTAATGCCAGCGCCTCCAATATTCAAATCCTCGGGGATGTGGCTTAATGCGTCTATCGGGTTATTTTTGGACCCTCTTATATACTTAATCTCTACCTTGTATGATTGTAATTTCTGGGCCCATCTCATTACTCTGTTGGAAACGTTTGCCCTGCTCAAAAGAGATACCAGCGGCTGGTGGTCTGTATATACTATCAGTTTAGCTTCAAAGGTCTGGTACTTAAATTTTCATAAAGCCAGAACTATGGCCAGCGCCTCAAGATCTGTAACATGGTACTTGCTTTCAGCTTTGGAACAGACCTTTGACACATAATGTATAGGATGCTGATGATCATTAGCATTTTTTTGCGTAAGCACTGCGCCTAGACCTGCGGAGCATGCATCCGTATTAATTTGAAAAGGATCTGTACCAATTAAGGCATCCTCGATGTCCGGCTGGGTCAGCACTGCTGTCGTGCGTAACTTTTCCTTCAAATTAGCGAAGGCTTAGATAGCGGCATTTGTTCATTCAAATCTACTCCTTTTTTTAAGCGCATCAAAAAGTGGTTTGGCCAAAAGCGCTTATCCCTTGGTGAATTTCCTATAGTGGCCGCACATTCCTAAATATTTGCGGAGCTGTTTCTCCGTTTACGGCCTTTTATAGTAAGTCACCCCGCAGTTGAAGCTATTTGCTCCTAGCTTCGATCCTTCCTTGCTTTTTGTTCCTTCCGCCAGCCCGCTTTCCGCGTTGCGTTTGGGAGTCACCTTAGGCAAAAACGCTACTCACTATAAAGCTACAATTCAACTTCATGGTTGCACGTGCCGCAATCGGTACAATAGACCGATCAGATGGGCGACTATCTGTATCTTGGTTCAATTCTTATAGCTACAGGTGGTTGGCCGTTTGGGGATGAGCATGCGCCTGCATCCACTCTGCGCCCATTGGCTACAGGCGCAACTCTCCGCGCCATTTTACCTCTTTATTGCTTGACCTATGTCAGTGGTAACTATGACCTTTCCTTTCACCAAACCAACCTTCTTCCAGCTACTGTTTCATGTGGTGTAACTGCGGTTGTTGTCGCATGCTTTCTCATGCACCAAGTATCCGCATCTTCACTTCCGATAAGTACTTCACAACTTCCTACTCCATACCGCGCCAAGCTCCCACTTGCCTAACTCACTGTGTCGTGTATTGCATTACCTGCACACGCTGCGGCCTGCAGCACATTACTAGACTTGTTTGTTGCAGACCATCTATCCCCTTGGACTGAACGACCACGTTAGGGGTTTCGGGGTTGTTACACAGGACGCAGTTCACAGCCGCAGTATCATCCCCTTACTTTCACCTGTGGCTGGTGTGGTTGTTCGGCGCAGCATCATCCCACTGGCTTTGGTACGCTTCGCATTTGACATTGCTGGAAGTATTTTTATCGTGACACGGGGACGAAGTAGCGATATGGACGGAATGTTGGTAACGCGACGTATGTGTGCGTTTTGGGGTAGTATAGTTGTTGAAGAACAGCGCGTACCAGATGTCGACAGAGGAGCTCAGTAGGAGGAAAATATTTAGAGAAGTGGTATTTGTTGCAGTGTACGAATGTGTGGACAAGTCGAATAATGTTGTGAGAAGTCCTTTATGAAAGTAGTGGAGGAGGAGACGCCGAGTGGAAGTGATAGATCCTTGATAAGCGGATTCGATAACTTGGTATCTGTTAAGCTGACTGTATAAAATACCGTTGTGGACAGACGGGTGTAAGTTGCTGCGAAGAGAAGAATATTTGATGATGGGGAAGGTGAATAGATCGGTCCTGTAGCAAATAAAGTGAAGAAACAATACGAGCGTTGCTATCTATGAAAAGAGTCAGGTCTAAATAATTGACGGTACCAGAACCTGCACTGTTCATGTCTAGGTCCTGGCCATATATATCTAGCCGAAGGGAAAGAAAGTCCGGGCAGTTGACGACTAGAATATCATCGACGTAACGGCGAAGCAGAAGAGGGGGACTAGTGGGAAATTTA